TCAATAATATTTTTACAAATATATTTCACCTTTTTATTTTAAAAAAATTCGGTATATATAAATGACACGAATTAATACTTTTAATTTTTCTTGAAAAAGTAATGTCAAATTAAGGGTTATATATAAGCTAATATGAGCATACTATGTATATTGCTGCTAATACAAAATACTTATAAAATATTAGAATATTTCCAGTGCATGTTAGCCATTTGGAAAGAAAGAGAGAGAGAGAGAGAGAGAGAAAGGGAGAGAAAGATAAAGAGAGAGAGAAAATCCGAACGAATGCGGAAAATGTAATTGAGAAGCCTGTATACAATATATATACCTATGAATTCATCAAAGTTGTACTAAAGTTTCGATCAATGAGAGATTTCGCGATCACATATGCAGGTATTCACGAAAAAATTTACGATATCAAGAAGAAATCGGTCACGAAAAACGAAACTGCCTCGAAGATAACAGAAGTCAATATTTACGTTAAGCACGAGTCTGTAATTTGGCAGTAATACAAGCGAATAAGCGAACCCGAAGAACACTAGTTTCAGACTGACCTTCGCATGTTTTGTCACATTAAGCCGGTTAAGTTACCATGCATGATCTGTATCTATTGTTTGGGACCATTCGACGCCGCATATGCTTCGTCCTTTATCGAAAGCAACCAATTAGCGGAGACCAAGGTAAAACTACGATATATAGAGTCGACTTTGTAACCGAAGCATGTCTAAAATGTATGTATTACACACATACATAAATTACCGTTAATATCATTATGTATTATAAATATATGGTTAAATATAACAAATCGTGAACTTAAAAATTATAATTAAATACTATGTGCAAACAAAAATTTTAAAATAGATTGTGTGATGTGTACTTTCTTTTTTTTTCTTTGTTCGGTATTTTGCGTTATATGTAGAATATTTAAGAAAGTTTCCTAATTAAATAAGGGATAACTAAAAGTAGCTTAGACTTTTTTTATTGATTTGTAAATACATTTTTTAAGATTCAGTTGATTTACTGTTGTGTGGGTGCCGACTGGCTCGAAGATTTGGAATCGCGCATAGACGCGCTGCGCCTTCGCTTGAGTTCTTCTTGGCGCCTGTTCTTCGCCTCCTTCTGTCTCTGCGCAAGCAATTTCGCGTACTCCGCCGCCTGCTCCTTGCGGGCCAGACAACGCTTCTTCTTCAATGCCAATCTATGTCTCTTTCTCTGTAGAGATTCAATAAGACATTTTTTCGGTTATATTTTTATTTTTTATTAACTGGCAATTAATTTAATTGATTTAATTTTAATCTCTCAATCTCTCCAAGATATATTTATTGAGTGTACCTCTATAAATTTCTTTAGGAAAAATTATATACCTGAAGAACGATTGGAGTGATTAAACGCTGGATCTTCGGTGCCTTAAATCGCTCCTTCTTTCCTTCTTTTTGTACTGGTCGTTTTACTACAAACTGTCGTACATCATCCTTCTTCGAAAGATTAAAGAGTTTGCGAATTTTGCTCGCTCTCTTTGGTCCCAGACGACGCGGTACGTTCATGTCCGTCAATCCTGGGATTTCCTACGAGTTCATGTTACAGTATTGAATCATTAAGTTGACTAAGCCATAATAATTATTGATCCTACATTAGTTTGAACTAAATCTTAATCTAAATTGAAAACTTTGTGATTATTTCTTTTTAAATTCAGAATTTAAAAATATGTAATAACATTATTTTGTTATATTAGAGCTAAATTGTTAATAATAGATTAGAAAGTGTCTCGTTCGTACACTGAGAAAAAGCATAAAATAATGCAGCAATTTCCCAAATCAAAAAACGAACTTTATCTTCCATGTGTACGATAGTATTTCAAGAAAATTGAATATTATCTTAAATACACCCTGAACAGCATGGATCTCTAGCATTTAACAATGAGAAAATATATTGCAGCTAATAGTTTACCTGTTTTCCCTTTCTTACAATGACGAGGGCTAATACGGATAAATTGGAATCTACAATGCAACCTCGAACAGATTTGCGCTTGCGCTCACCGTCACGTCTGGGTCTGTAGCAG